TATATTCTATATTTATGTTCTATATTTATGCTCTATAATTATGCTCTATATTTATATTCTATATTTATGCTCTATATTTATGCTCTATATTTATATTCTATATTTATGTTCTATATTTATATTCTATATTTATGTTCTATATTTATGCTCTATATTTATGCTCTATATTTATATTCTATATTTATGTTCTATATTTATATTCTATATTTATGTTCTATATTTATATTCTATATTTATGCTCTATATTTATGCTCTATATTTATATTCTATATTTATGTTCTATATTTATGCTCTATATTTATGTTCTATATTTATGTTCTATATTTATGCTCTATATTTATGCTCTATATTTATGCTCTATATTTATGTTCTATATTTATATTCTATATTTATGCTCTATATTATGTTCTATATTTATGCTCTATATTTATGCTCTATATTATGTTCTATATTTATATTCTATATTTATGCTCTATATTATGTTCTATATTTATATTCTATATTTATGTTCTATATTTATGCTCTATATTTATGCTCTATATTTATATTCTATATTTATGCTCTATATTATGTTCTATATTTATATTCTATATTTATGCTCTATATTTATGTTCTATATTTATATTCTATATTTATGCTCTATATTTAGGCGTGTGATGACAATACAACAGAAATGCTTGTGTGATATTAATTATCTTGGAAACATGGATATAGTTTATTATTACCTGCAGTCATTACTGCAACTTACAATGTAGCCACTCAATTTGTTCTTTAAATGAGAACTCATGCATGGTTGGAATACTTAATAGATTGTAAAATGATTGTGAGCAGCATGAAATCAAACATTTTTCAGAAAAGATCCCAAAAGCCTTGTTAAGTTATCATATAACATTTTAATAATAGACAATTCTTTACACAAATTAAACTTTCCACATGCTGTAATTACAGGTTTATTTACAGAGAAAAATTGAGAATTAAAGAAATTGCATAGACTATATAGAGAATGATTGAGAGATCTGATTATAAAGAAATATTCTATAGTAGAGAATGATTGAAAATATATTTACAAAATTTGTTTTGGGGAAAAAGATAAAAAAACAGACTAAAATAATTTCTGAAATGTAGATTTAAAAACCCCTATATGTAAAAAAAGTGAACTGATTACGTTTCTCCTCTCCATCTATATACACAGTGACCCCCAAAGGTCACACGGGGGCGCCAGATGACCATCATCACATTTTCACTGATCTCTAGAGCTTTCAGTCTAATCACCTAGTAATTAGTTACTGCTGTTGTTTCATCAATATAGTTAGTCAAAGCTGGTCTCGCTCAGAAACATGTTACAGTGTGCTGTGGTTCTAGGGACCGGGCCAGCAGTGGTTCTGGGGACCGGGCCAGCTGTGGTTCTGGGGACCGGGCCAGCAGTGGTTCTGGGGACCGGGCCAGCTGTGGTTCTGGGGACCGGGCCAGCAGTGGTTCTGGGGACCGGGCCAGCTGTGGTTCTGGGGACCGGGCCAGCAGTGGACTGGTTCCTCACAGTGACGGCCTCTCTGTGCAGCAGATGTTTCTGTAGGACCAGATGGTGCTCCTGCTTCATCACTCCACCTCAGAAAGTTGTGAAGGATCCAGGTTGCTTTGACGACTGTCTCGGCTACCTGCGGTGACACACCGGGCACCCTGAGGTGACACACCGGGCACCCTGAGGTGACACACCGGGCACCCTGAGATGACACACCCTGCGGTGACACACCGAGCACCCTGAGGTGACACACCGGGCACCCTGAGGTGACACACCGAGCACCCTGCGGTGACACACCGGGCACCCTGAGGTGACACACCGAGCACCCTGAGGTGACACACCGGGCACCCTGAGGTGACACACCCTGAGGTGACACACCGAGCACCCTGAGGTGACACACCGGGCACCCTGAGGTGACACACCCTGCGGTGACACACCGAGCACCCTGAGGTGACACACTGAGCACCCTGAGGTGACACACCGAGCACCCTGCGGTGACACACCGAGCACCCTGAGGTGACACACCGAGCACCCTGCGGTGACACACTGAGCACCCTGAGGTGACACACCGGGCACCCTGAGGTGACACACCCTGAGGTGACACACCGAGCACCCTGAGGTGACACACCGGGCACCCTGAGGTGACACACCCTGAGGTGACACACCGAGCACCCTGAGGTGACACACCGGGCACCCTGAGGTGACACACCGGGCACCCTGAGATGACACACCCTGCGGTGACACACCGAGCACCCTGAGGTGACACACCGAGCACCCTGCGGTGACACACCGGGCACCCTGAGGTGACACACCCTGAGGTGACACACCGAGCACCCTGAGGTGACACACCGGGCACCCTGAGGTGACACACCCTGAGGTGACACACCGAGCACCCTGAGGTGACACACCGGGCACCCTGAGGTGACACACCCTGCGGTGACACACCGAGCACCCTGAGGTGACACACTGAGCACCCTGAGGTGACACACCGAGCACCCTGCGGTGACACACCGAGCACCCTGAGGTGACACACCCTGAGGTGACACACCGAGCACCCTGAGGTGACACACCGGGCACCCTGAGGTGACACACCCTGAGGTGACACACCGAGCACCCTGAGGTGACACACCGGGCACCCTGAGGTGACACACCCTGAGGTGACACACCGAGCACCCTGAGGTGACACACCGAGCACCCTGAGGTGACACACCGAGCACCCTGAGGTGACACACCGAGCACCCTGCGGTGACACACCGAGCACCCTGAGGTGACACACCGGGCACCCTGAGGTGACACACCGAGCACCCTGAGGTGACACACCGGGCACCCTGAGGTGACACACCCTGAGGTGACACACCGAGCACCCTGAGGTGACACACCGGGCACCCTGAGGTGACACACCGGGCACCCTGAGATGACACACCCTGCGGTGACACACCGAGCACCCTGAGGTGACACACCGAGCACCCTGCGGTGACACACCGGGCACCCTGAGGTGACACACCCTGAGGTGACACACCGAGCACCCTGAGGTGACACACCGGGCACCCTGAGGTGACACACCCTGAGGTGACACACCGAGCACCCTGAGGTGACACACCGGGCACCCTGAGGTGACACACCCTGAGGTGACACACCGAGCACCCTGAGGTGACACACCGGGCACCCTGAGGTGACACACCCTGCGGTGACACACCGAGCACCCTGAGGTGACACACTGAGCACCCTGAGGTGACACACCGAGCACCCTGCGGTGACACACCGAGCACCCTGAGGTGACACACCCTGAGGTGACACACCGAGCACCCTGAGGTGACACACCGGGCACCCTGAGGTGACACACCCTGAGGTGACACACCGAGCACCCTGAGGTGACACACCGGGCACCCTGAGGTGACACACCCTGAGGTGACACACCGAGCACCCTGAGGTGACACACCGGGCACCCTGAGGTGACACACCGAGCACCCTGCGGTGACACACCGAGCACCCTGAGGTGACACACCCTGCGGTGACACACCGAGCACCCTGAGGTGACACACTGAGCACCCTGAGGTGACACACCGAGCACCCTGCGGTGACACACCGAGCACCCTGAGGTGACACACCGGGCACCCTGAGGTGACACACCGAGCACCCTGAGGTGACACACTGAGCACCCTGAGGTGACACACCGAGCACCCTGCGGTGACACACCGAGCACCCTGAGGTGACACACCGAGCACCCTGAGGTGAATCCTCCACTCTACCGTTCTCCTGGCGTGAGGTGATTAAAGACTTCCCCCCGTAGTGTTCCCAGGTTAGGGGCCTCAACGGGGATGGGTCGTCCTCCAGACGTATTGGCCCCAGGTGCTCTGCTCCAGGTAGAGGGACATCCACAGGGAGGTTGAGGGTCCCCTGCTAATGTCCTCGCTGTTCTTCTGTCCACCACCCTGAACCGAGAATGTCCCCTTGAGATGGTAATAGAGGGAGGAGCCTCAAGTCTTCATCTTCCTCTTCATCTTCCTCTTCATCTTCCTCTTCCTCTTCCTCTTCCTCTTCATCTTCCTCTTCCTCTTCCTCTTCATCTTCCTCTTCCTCTTCCTCTTCCTCTTCCTCTTCATCTTCCTCTTCATCTTCATCTTCCTCTTCATCTTCCTCTTCCTCTTCCTCTTCCTCTTCATCTTCCTCTTCATCTTCCTCTTCCTCTTCCTCTTCCTCTTCCTCTTCCTCTTCATCTTCATCTTCCTCTTCATCTTCATCTTCCTCTTCATCTTCCTCTTCCTCTTCCTCTTCCTCTTCATCTTCATCTTCCTCTTCATCTTCCTCTTCCTCTTCCTCTTCATCTTCCTCTTCCTCTTCATCTTCCTCTTCATCTTCCTCTTCCTCTTCCTCTTCCTCTTCATCTTCCTCTTCCTCTTCCTCTTCCTCTTCATCTTCCTCTTCATCTTCCTCTTCCTCTTCCTCTTCATCTTCCTCTTCATCTTCATCTTCCTCTTCATCTTCCTCTTCCTCTTCCTCTTCCTCTTCATCTTCCTCTTCATCTTCCTCTTCCTCTTCCTCTTCCTCTTCCTCTTCCTCTTCATCTTCATCTTCCTCTTCATCTTCATCTTCCTCTTCATCTTCCTCTTCCTCTTCCTCTTCCTCTTCATCTTCATCTTCCTCTTCATCTTCCTCTTCCTCTTCCTCTTCATCTTCCTCTTCCTCTTCATCTTCCTCTTCATCTTCCTCTTCCTCTTCCTCTTCCTCTTCATCTTCCTCTTCCTCTTCCTCTTCCTCTTCATCTTCCTCTTCCTCTTCCTCTTCCTCTTCCTCCCAAACTGCCCCACACACACTCCTGACTAACTCCCACCCTGAAACAGAAGGTTCGAGTCCCCTGCTGCCAAAAAACCATGAGGGATGAAAAACGCCGCCTTAGCTACCGTTACTAAGGGGTGGGCTTCTCGCGATAAACGGCGGGATTTCAACGGGAACTGCCACGTGACCCGGCTTTAAGAATCCTGAATGTGATCCTGCAGAGAGAAGAGCAGAGCGGGATGGAGAACCCGAACCCGAACCCGAACCCGAACCCGAACCCGGCACAGAACCAGAACCAGAACACACCGGCCTCGTGCACCAAAGGAACCGACGTTCAGGTAATACTTCGTGACGTCATTTTCAAACACGAGGACGTGTGTGGCGGCTCGGTGTTTGAACCTTGAAGATTTTATAATATATTTAAAACGTTTTTTTATCATGTGTTCCCGTGTATCGTCATGACGTCACTTAGAGAAGAGATTAGGGGTGCATCCGAATTGTCCCCCCGTCTCCTCTCACGATCCACTTCACCTTTAACCCCGGAAGCATTTCAGTGGCGGCCATGATAAGAGCCGTTTGAATTCTCTAAAAGTTAAGGAAAGGTGGGTCAATGCTTCCTTTATAACCTCCTTTAGGATACACTGGACCATCCTTTAGGAAAGGAGATGAGATATGACGTCATCCGACCGTTCAGGAACATTAACGATGATCGTGAAGAGATAAAAGATAAGAGACATTTTTATCAGAGGATGTTTGATTCAACATATTTCATTCTCTTGCTTTGTGCTGCTGTACATTTGTATGTTTAAAACATTATGTGTAGGTTATATCTTACATTAATGTAACAATTCATTTCATCCAATCATATTGATGTTGATGTTGATTTCTGATTGGACAGGAAGCTGATGGTTTCACTTTTCTTACTTGTAGTCTGGTAGTCTATATTTCTTTAATTTCAATCCCAACCTCGTGGTGATCAGGATTATTTCACCGGTAAGAAGCACAGAAAGAGTTTTTTAGATGATCTTTTTGTAGTCCATTTTCTGAACATTGTAGTTTCAACACGGCAGACCCACGTCATCAACCTCCGCCGGCCCGTCACATTTAATGATGTGGCCTAGTGGAAATGTGGTCGGATTGTCAGAGCAACGAGATCTCCTTTCCCTAAGTCCTTTATGACTTCTCCTAACATCTTTCCTTGACCTCATGACCTTTTCCCCGAGGTTAAAGGTGAAGTGGATAGTGAAGGAGACAGGAGGGACAATTCCAACACACCCAAAGGTTTCCCCCTCAGGTAAAGGTAGACAACAACATGGCGGCTCCTTCTCCAACATTCAGAGGCTTCAGCTCCGCCTCCATCTAAACGTCACAGAGAGCAGAACATGTCTCTGAAAGCAGCTTTTTAATTGGTCCGCACAGAGCTGGGGGCGGAGCGGACAGTTCTTAGTGTTTCCCTGTGAGTCCGGACTCCACTTACTGAACACTTTGTAACTAAGCTTCCTGTCTGGATGGAGGCTGAGAGGGCCTGCCCCCCCCCCCCCTCCCCCCCTGTCCTGTGAGAGCTTTCTCCCACAGAGGAAGTCCTCTCAGGCTCTAACAGGGTTCTGTTTGTGGTTTTGATTGTTAGGATCTGTGAGGATCAGGTCTCCTCTCTTTGACCCGTTGAGCCACCTGGACTCTGCTGTCCTACACGTAGTGTAACTGATCCAACCTGAACGCTGAAGTTAAAGGAGCAGTATGTAGCTCTGACCCCTAGTGGTTTAAATAGGTACTGCAGTCCAAATTCTAAACATCATAGAGAGCTGTCTCCCCCCCCCTCCTCTCTAGAGTGGATGCTCACTCAGGTCACCATGTGGTGGACTCTGAAGCTTCAGTGTTTATCCAGCTCTGCATGGGTCTGTAAACCTTTCTGTGTTCTAACCTCTCTCCATTTTTCAAAAGCATCTCCAATATTGATCCTAGTTTGAGCACGTTTCTGCTCGTGGAGCTTATTAGAAACATGCAGAGGCTTTTTAGGTCGGGTACAATCACTTCTATCTGAACCACTTCTCTTGACCGCTTCCATCGCTGCAACACCTGTTGACCTGATAACTGCTCTCATATCTGACAAACACAGGGGCGTCCAAAACGGCCGTGTGGGGGGGGGTCTTAAAAGCGCCTACCTTCTCTGGTCCAAACAAATCCAGAGCATTCAGGAGCAGAATCTAAAGTTAGAAGGAGGACATACTGGCTGCTGCATTGTTGTCAGAGAAGCCAGCACTTCAACATGTTTCCTTAATGATCAGAGAGTAAGATACCTTTATCATTGTGTGTTGTGATCATGTGTTTTGGTAATATTCTTGCTAGAGTTAGCTTAATATTTGAAACTGGAGTTGTTGTTTTTTTTGCTTCTGTCTTGATGCGTTGATGTCTTAAATGTTAACCTGTGTGTTTGTTTCTGTTGGTTTAGATATGGAGAGGAAAAGAAGAACCGCAGAGTGACACATCCTTCCAAACATCGACGTCTTTGAAGACAGAGAGAGAGAAACCGTACAGCTGTGACCTCTGTGAGAAAGCGTTTGCTCGTCTGACTCACTTGAAGAACCATCAGAGCGTTCACACGGGAGAGAAACTACACGGCTGTCGGCTGTGCGGGAAAGCGTTTGCTCGAGCGGGTTCTTTAAGAGTCCACTTTCGCATTCACACCGGAGAGAAACCGTTCACCTGTGACCAGTGTGGGGCCACTTTCTCACACAGGGGCCACTTCAAAACTCACCAGAACATCCACACCGGAGAGAGGCAGACCGAATGTGATCAGTGTGGGAAAACGTTCACCAACGCCGCCGCCTTGAAGTACCACCTACGCATCCACGCCGGGGAGAAACCGCACGAGTGTGAGCACTGCGGGAAGTCCTTCACCAGACGGAGTCCTCTGATCCGTCACCTGCGCATCCACTCCGGAGAGAAGCCGTACTGGTGCGATGTGTGCGGGAAACATTTTGCTCGAGGGAGCGCCATGAAAGTCCACCGCCGCCTTCACACCGGAGAGAAACCGTACTGGTGTGATCAGTGTGGGAAAACGTACGCCGCGTCAGGCAGCCTGAACCTCCACAAACGATGTCACACAGGGGACTTTTAACTCTTCTCACAGCTGTTTGCTGATTTGTTACCATGGCAACAACATGCAGCAAAAGGGCCGAGGTCGGATTCGAACCGGAGGACTGTTGCCTCTGTACATGGGACGCGCGTCATAACCGTTAGGCCATAGTCACTGATATGATCCGTTCTAGTTTCTGAATATATTTGACATTTTTCATATTTATTCATGATTTGTTTTGACGAACCTGTTCCACTGAGACTCAGACCTTTAAAACAGTATTTGAACGCTCCCCCTCTCAGGTAAACACCGGGCAGGTTTTGTCTTCATGAAAAGTTTTTCGTCATCGTTTTGTTTGTATTAAAAAGTTTTACCCAAACTCCAGAAACGATGACTAACCATCTTTTCTTCTGCTGCGTTCCTCGTTTCTTTTGTTTCATTTTGCAGCGTTTCTGTTTCTATTTTTTTATCGACTTCCTCTGAATGATCTTTGACTTCTGTTTTGATTCTGTTCATGTGTCTGGATCTGTAGAATAAAAACTCCTCCAGATGATTGGTCGATTCATTGATTTGTTAAAAATGGCTGCAGGAAATAAAAGTGAAGTTCAAACATCAGCTTCTCGTCTGGAGCTTTAATTTACCCAGAATGCTACAGGAGTGCTCCATGTTGAGGGAGAGGGTTGAGCATTTCTAAGATGGAGACCTCTATTGTTTGGCTTCACTGACACCACGTCCATGTTTCATACAGACGGTGGATGTGTTGGTTTGTTGACAATGAAAGAAAGTTTTGAGTTTCATGTTTTGTTCTTTATTCTGTTTTTTTTTAGAAAACATCTTTAATGGAATTACAGTCAGGAAGGCGGGGCTAACCCACTGTGACCTTTGACCTCTAACCCCCCCTGCAGAAAGGGGACAGGAGGGGCTTCAAAGGTCAACAATGAGTCGTCATGACGACACAGACAGGAAGTCAGGACGGAGCTTTAGTTGATCTTTGGGTGACGGTAATCTTTACCGGCGAACTTGGCCTTGTCCCCGAGCTCCTCCTCGATCCTAAAGGTCAGAGGTCACAGAGGTCAGGTGTTTGATCCTTTATGTGCTTTTACTTTGAAGTGTGTAAGGACAGGAAGTGCTCACCTCATCAGCTGGTTGTACTTGGCCAGACGCTCCGACCTGCAGGGGGCGCCAGTCTTAATCTGAGAGAGAGAGAGACAGGTGGTCAGTGAGACAGGTTCACATTGTACCTTTAAATCAATGTAGTGATTTACCTGTCTGTCTGTTCACCTGTCTGTCTGTTTACCTGTCTGACTGTTCACCTGTCTGTCTGTTTACCTGTCTGACCCTCTGTCTGTCTGTTCACCTGTCTGTATGTTTACCTGTCTGACCCTCTGTCTGTCTGTTCACCTGTCTGTATGTTTACCTGTCTCTCTACATTTCTTCCTCTCTTCATATCTGTCTCTATCTCCACCTGTCTCTCTCTCTCTCTACCTGTCTGTGTGCGTACCTGTCCGGTGCAGAGTCCGACCACCAGGTCAGAGATGAAGGTGTCTTCTGTCTCTCCGGAGCGATGACTCACCATCACACCCCAACCACTGCTCTGAGCCAGCTTACACCTGGAACACAGACAGGTGGGGAGGAGAGACAGACAGGTAACCACATGGAGGGAGGGAGGGAGGAGAGACAGACAGGTAACAACATGGAGGGAGGGAGGAGAGACAGACAGGTAACAACATACAGGGAGGGAGGAGAGACAGACAGGTAACCACATGGAGGGAGGGAGGAGAGACAGACAGGTAACCACATGGAGGGAGGGAGGAGAGACAAACAGGTAACAACATACAGGGAGGGAGGAGAGACAGACAGGTAACCACATGGAGGGAGGGAGGAGAGACAGACAGGTAACCACATGGAGGGAGGGAGGAGAGAGACAGGTAACCACATGGAGGGAGGGAGGAGAGACAGACAGGTAACAACATGGAGGGAGGGAGGAGAGAGACAGGTAACCACATGGAGGGAGGGAGGAGAGACAGACAGGTAACAACATACAGGGAGGGAGGAGAGACAGACAGGTAACCACATGGAGGGAGGGAGGAGAGAGACAGGTAACCACATGGAGGGAGGGAGGAGAGACAGACAGGTAACAACATGGAGGGAGGGAGGAGAGACAGACAGGTAACCACATACAGGGAGGGAGGAGAGACAGACAGGTAACCACATGGAGGGAGGGAGGGAGGAGAGACAGACAGGTAACCACATACAGGGAGGGAGGAGAGACAGACAGGTAACCACATGGAGGGAGGGAGGAGAGACAGACAGGTAACAACATACAGGGAGGGAGGAGAGACAGACAGGTAACCACATGGAGGGAGGGAGGAGAGACAGACAGGTAACAACATGGAGGGAGGGAGGAGAGACAGACAGGTAACAACATACAGGGAGGGAGGAGAGACAGACAGGTAACCACATGGAGGGAGGGAGGAGAGACAGACAGGTAACAACATACAGGGAGGGAGGAGAGACAGACAGGTAACAACATACAGGGAGGGAGGAGAGACAGACAGGTAACAACATACAGGGAGGGAGGAGAGACAGACAGGTAACAACATGGAGGGAGGGAGGAGAGACAGACAGGTAACAACATGGAGGGAGGGAGGAGAGACAGACAGGTACACAGGGAGGGAGACAGGTAGGGTGAAGGAAGAAAAAGTTACATTTTAGCTCAAACAGTAAACGGACAATCAGTCAGACAGACAGGTAGAGACACAGACAGATGGGTAGAGACACAGACAGGCAGATGGACAGACAGGAAGGTAGAGACACAGACAGATGGGTAGAGACACAGACAGACAGATGGACAGACAGACAGGTAGAGACACAGACAGACAGACAGACAGACAGGTAGAGACACAGACAGATGGACAGACAGGAAGGTAGAGACACAGACAGATGGACAGACAGACAGGTAGAGACACAGACAGACAGGTGGAGACAGACAGATAGAGACACAGACAGACAGGTAGAGACACAGACAGACAGACAGTTAGAGACACAGACAGGTATAGACACAGACAGATGGACAGACAGGTAGAGACACAGACAGACAGACAGACAGGTAGAGACACAGACAGGTATAGACACAGACAGATGGACAGACAGACAGACAGACAGGTATAGACACAGACAGATGGACAGACAGACAGGTAGAGACACAGACAGACAGACAGACAGGTAGAGACACAGACAGATGGACAGACAGACAGGTAGAGACACAGACAGACAGACAGACAGGTAGAGACACAGACAGATGGACAGACAGACAGGTGTCTTACGCCTGGATGGACTCGGTCACAGAGCCGATCTGGTTGACTTTGAGCAGCAGACAGTTACAGGCCTTCTTGTCAACGGCCTGCTGGATCCTCT